TGCACTTTTTTGAAAATCGTATAGGCGGAGTTAAAATTGTATCAATGGTATGGATTCCAACGTTCATATGATATTGTGATGCTTCTGAGACGGAGAATTGGGATCCTATGCTTAAAATATCATTATAAAATTTGTTTGTGACAGTGCTTACTATTAATATAAAGTTCACCGATTGGGTTATCGAAGAATAATGCTATTCATAGTCAACGATTGTCAGTACTCATTATATAACATGTTGCAGTAACTGACTATGAATAACATTATTCTTAGACAAAGTATTTATAGTAATTAGTATGTGGATGGAAAAACTCCAGCTTTGCTTGAGGCTGCTGCGTCAAGGGTTCGAATCCTGAAATATGGATTTGGCCATTGGGTAAGTGCAAGTGTACAAGCAGCCTTCCACCCTGTACCCTTGGAGGTATAACCTACGATTTACCTCCTTCACCAAGGCCCATGGCAGGGCAGGGCAGGGCAGGTGGGGGCCGCTAAGGATGCGGTTCATCCTTTTTAGTATGTGGATGGACGATAGTTAGAGTCGACCCATCTTCTGGAATCCGAATCAGCGTACATGTAAGTGGTAGACAGTTTTTTTCCTATTAAAATGGTTTGTGCAATTCACATGACTCAGTTAACCTAAAATTTGTTTAACATCGTGAATATGGACGGTTTCTGCTATTAGGTTCATGACAGGTTTGCAAAGAAAGAAAAGCTTAAGAATATACTTGCTACTTACTATTGTAGACTTCCGAATTGGGACCAGCGCGTCAACAAACCTCGACTCATCTTTTCTTCACATGTATTTTACCTACACATTTTAGAGGCGCAAGACCGAGGCTCCTCCAAGCAAGGCTTGGGAGGTCACGATCGTGCAAATGATTAAGTCTTGAAACGAGGAGAAATGTTGGAGTCGAGTTTATATGTTTAGAGTGAGAATTACGAACTTAATATTACTCTGAAAATACACCCCCGTGAGTACTTATAGGCAAAGGAAAGTAGTTGAAACTCTCTAGATATATGAAAACTGGTCTCAGCTACTTACAATAGGTAAGCATTGCATACAAGTGGCTTTCCTATATTTTCTTCCTGTCAAAGTAGCGTTATTCTAAAAGAAAATCACTCATTTTCCACTCCTAGTCCTCGCATCTCACCTACCCTTCCACTCATGTCTAGTCTCTTCCTCGTCTCCCCCATTGACAACAATCTTGACCAGATACGTCTATGAGCATCTACTTTTTACAAAAATTTAAGGTCTCACCTTTCATTATTATTATGATTTTGTCGTCATCTTTCATTTTCTGGTATTTTCATCATTATTTTCGCATTTCATTGCGTAAAAGGTCTTTTTATCCATTTTTTCAATTAAAAGTTGTGAAATGACAAATATACTATTTTATTTAAATAAAACAAAAAAGAAAAAGAAATGAATAATTGAAATGATAGTCCCAATTTTTTTTTAAAAAAGTGCAGACGAGTCTCAAATAAGTTATTAAAAAGGGTAATTAGCACATAATTTCAATATCTTTCACTATTATTGTAAAAAACGTCATTTTCATTTTATTTGGTATTTTCATCCTTAATTACACATTTGATTGCGTAAACCATCATTTCTATCTATTTTCATCTAATTTTTCAATTAAAAAATGTGAAATGACGAATATACCCCCACATTTAAATAAAAAAATAAGTTAAATTAATTTTTTAATAATTTATTTGGAATTCATTTGCACTTTTTAGTTTCTTAATACTTTATTTAGGACTCGTTTATACTTTTTAATTTTTTCTTAATTTCTAATTTTTGCATAATTTATTTGGAACTTGTTTGCACTTTTTAATTTCTAATTTTTTTCATAATTTATTAGAGACTTGTTTGCACTCTTTAAAAAAATTTGAGATTATAGCTACAATTAGTTTTTTTTTTAATTTAAAGATGAGGGTATATTCGTCATTCCACATCTATTTATCAAGAAATTGGGTGAAAATGGATAAAAATAATGGTGAAAATGTCAAAAAAGAAGAAGTATATGGACTTTTTTCACAATAATAGTGAAATGTAGGGATAGTATGTGATAATTATCCTTTTATACTTTATTTGGGACTTGGTTACACTTTTTAAAAAAAGTAAGACTATGGTTGAAATTAGTTCTTTCTTTTTCTTATTGTTTTATTTAAACATAAGGGTATATTGATCATTTTATAATTTTTAATTAAGAAAATGGATGAATATGACATTTTGTGCAATAAATATGGAAATAAGGGTGAAAATGCAAAAAAAAAAAAAAAAA